AATTCAGAATGTAAGATTTACTTCTCTAAAGCAGTTTCCTTCTTTCTCCGTACCTTCACAATTAAAAAGTTGTAACAACTTGGGGAGAAAAAAAACTATGAGAAGAGTTCAATAAAACATTGCCTGTTTCCTATTATTGCTTCGAACAATGTTCTGCTAATTTCATCCACGGGACTCCCACAGAATGAAAAGTCTGCTGCAGAAAGTGGACTTCTTAAACTGCCAAATGATTGTTATCAGCTTGTTATTTTAATAGACCTTGCACTTTAAAATAAGCTTAAACCATCTTCTCCTTCTCTAGTTACAGAAGGCACAATCAACCTCTAGCCATGTAGAAGAATATATAGAATGTCAATCTCTGTTTACTATGCATTTCATGCAGCTCTAATTGCCAATTGTCTTTAGAAGCCTCTCATGTGGCAAAGAACAAACCAGCATCAGACTCCACATTTGCAGGGTGCAGGTGGGTTTCTTCTCACTTGATGCAGCCTGTCAAAAACAGTATTGCAATTGTACATTTTTACAGACATGAAGGAATGTGTGGCTCCTTACACAATCACCCTCAGCAATAAAGACACAACTACATGTTTGAATTCCCCTGCAAAAAGTGATTTATAGCAAGTTAGTGGTTAAGGTACCAAGCTAGAAACCAGGTGACTGTGAGTTCTAGTTCCGCCTTTAGACACGAAAGAAGCTGGGTCACTTTGGGTTAGTCACTCTCCCTCAGCCCAACTCATGTCATAGGACTGTTGTGAGGAAAACAAGGGGAAGAAGGAATATTAGTATATCTGCCACCTTAAGTTATTTATAAAACTGATAAAGAAGGGATAAAAATAATAGAATTAATTATAGAAATGTGTATGATACTTTCAAAGGTTTTGCTCTAAAAATCTATAAGATGCAATGTGCTTCCCAAAGACCATGTCCTACTCTTCTGCATTTGCTTTTGCAGCCATAACTTCAATTTTTAATTAAAACTGCATGCAAAGTGTGTCACCCACAAATACGCCAACACACATTTTTCATTGTATTTTGGTTAAAAATTTGAGGGTCTGTTTATCCACACTTGGGAGTATATACGGTACTTCCTTACATTGTATGCATTAGTTGTAAAATAGGCTTCCCTTGATTGCTTAAAGGAAATACATTTTCATTATATTTTCCAACAATTGTTTTTCAGAAAGCAAGTTTGTAGCAATGGAAATAAAAGATATATAGACATGTTTTTACATGCAAAATACAATATCTGAATATTTTTTCCAGGTACATCCACCTTGTTTTTTGTCAGTTTTCACTGTACAGATTTCCCAACCCATATATAATCTTCCCACATCCAAGATTCAGAATGCTATAATTCAAACCTAGTTAGGAAAGAATAGATTATGAAGGCCACATTAAGTTTTCTACAACCTTACAATCTACAATGTCTACAACACTTTGGAACCTTTGGGATTTAACTTACTCAAAATATCTTTTTTTTTCCACATAGCATCCATAAGATAAATTCTGTGATCTTTTTATTGTGGGATAAATTAACTTTTCTGCATTATAAAGGAGCTGCATCTTCATAAAACTAATTTTCAGCACTGTTGACACCACTACCATGAAAAAATATGTGTTAACAACTGTAGCATTTGCCACAAAGAATTTGATAACTAAGTAGTTATAAATAGGGCCCATATGGCAGTGACCAATGCTTAAAGATCCCATGCTGTTATCTTTCCATGGAAAGAACTGTCTGCTTCAAATGGATCTAAAGCTACAGTACTTTTTTTTTTCTTTCTGTGACAGTCTTCCTGAAATTCTATTAGGGCTATTATACATCTGCTGGGCCCCCTGCTTTTGAACTCTCCTTTAACGGTCATTTTCATCTCAAATATCAGCAGGGGAGGATCAAATCAGAGGTCTGTCACTTTATTTATTTATAAGGACATTTGTAGTCTGGACTATGAGGCAGATACACCAAACTCATCACAATTGTGTAACAATAGAAGCAGTTTCATTTGGCATCGCATATGATGTGTGTAAAATCCAACACTGGCATTTAGGTGTTGAATTAACATTAAAAGATGATCAGCAGTACTAGGTGTGGTTAAAATGTAGGAAGTCCTTGATTGAGTTTCAACATCCTTTTTTAAAATAAAATCAGTCAGGATGGGAATAGCTACCTAAAACTGTTGTTTCTGTTCCCACTCCCAGGAAGAAATACAAGACTAGATAAAATACAAGTCTGACTCAATAGCTTTTATGACAATTTAATGATGCTAACAGAGCAATTGTAAAATATTATGAGCATGACAAATATCAGGTTTAAGTTTCAAAACAGCCCCAGCCCAATTCTTAGTGACAGACAGAATTATCTGACTTGTTGCAAGTATCTGGCCAAAATTCTGATTTGAGAAGAAACTATTTATTTCATGCTGCCATAAAGATAACCTTTATTGTTATTTTTTTCTGTGAATAAAGAGGCTACGTCTGATCATTCAGGTACCAAAGCTGGCTTCAGGATCATAGAACTAGATGGGATCCTGATCATTCAGTTCACCTCATGGTCAGCATCCAAACCCAAACTAAAGCTAAAGACACATGGCTGTTTAATTTCTACTTGGACATACATCGTGCATGGAGGCCCACCAATACCTTGAGTAACCTCCTCTTCTGTCAAAGTACTCTCTCTGTAAAGAAGTTTTCCTAACCCTCCATTAGCATTTGCCTTCCTATATCTTAATTCCATCACTCTGCAACAAGAGAACCAGACATGATCTTTTATAGGAAAACCTTTCAAATCTTTGAAGAACGCTCTCATATTCCCACGCCATTGACTTTTCTCAACACTAAATATACTCAGTTCCTTCCATCTCTCTCCATATGAAAGTTTCTAGACCCCAATCAACTGCTCAAATTCTGACCCCAAATTGCCCCCTCTATTGATGTTCACCTCATAGAACAAGTCAGTCTTGAGCCTTTGTTTTTATATCACTTTTAATACATATAGAATGCAACAAGAATAGGAATAAATTGTATAATGAAATCCATTTCAGCAGTGGGCTAGGACTCAGTTTACTTCATGGAGATAAAGCAGGCTCCATATGAAACAGATATTGACATTCTCCAGAAACTTTTTATAACAAGTATGTGATGACCCAGGGTGGGATACAAAATAAACACAGTCACAGAAAACAGGTGAAACCCCTTTTATTCCTTCACTTTGCTTCTAAGCTCCAAATATCCTTGACTGGAGACAAAAAAACTCCCACACAAGCAGTTACAAGAAGGAGGAACTGCCATTTAAATTATAAAGAATAAAAAAACAACACAAACCAGGCAAGATAAGGGCTTGAAGATGTCCACAGATATCAGAACACATGGGAAGGACGCCAAACTGAGAGAGGAACAATAAACTTAGAGATATTTCCACACTTCATTTCCAGCACTTGTTCATATGCATGTCCGTCCTCTTATCCAGTTATCACAGCTGCAGCTCATGAAGAGGATCAAGGCCCTCTCCTTCCCCCCGTAGACCACTCTCTCCCTTATCCTCTCTACCCTGCATGCCCTAGGATGGAGAGGGGATGGCCTGGGTCCTCTCTGAAAGCCCAGACGGTCTCTGCCCTTCCCCAGCCTCCTCCACAACTCCGGAGCCACACTTCCACTCCCTGTCGGCTGTTCCTCCTCCCCCTCAGAGTCAGTCTCTACCAGGGGCATGACAATGTATGAGAAACATGGTTCTGTAGATTTGAATAAATGCAATATTACCAGCACTAGACAGTATGGACAAATTACAAATCTGGAAATGGGAAACTGCAGATTCTCCTGAAAAGGATCTAAGGCAGGGCTGTCAAACTCCCAGCCCGCAGCCAGATGTGTCACATGCTGGCCACGCCCATGACTGGTTTAGCAAAGGGGGGGAAGTCCCAATATGTCACATGTTGCCATGATGACGTGAGTTTGACACCCCTGATCTAAGGTCTCCTATCACCCATAGTTGTATTAGTTGTGTGTCACTGAGATAATACTTAGCCCGATACTTATACCATATAATGCAAAATTTCTGTTCTCTTAAAATTATGAATCCTTAATGTCAGACATTATCTGACTAGTAACATTGACTTTCCAGAACCTTTCCTATTATCTTATAATATTTCCTGTGGAAAGATATTTCTCAAACTTATTGTATGCTACAGGGAATTACTACTACAGTTTCTCCTGCTGTAACCAGCAACAGGACTTAATTGATTGACCAGCATTACCATATTAAGAGTATTATTTGTAGCAATCAATACAGTTAGAGGGGAAAGAAGGAAAACATACAGCATAATCACTTAAAAAAGAACCATTGGTGGTGACAACACAAGATCAACTTTTGAAGAGCAGCCCAATGTCTTTTAAAATATAACATTCTAATCTTAAATACATACTTCTTTTAAACAAACAGTGTCTTGGCAAAAAAATGGCAAGTATTAGTTTGGTCTTCTAAATTCATTAGATTTATAACCAATGGTCTTCTAAATTCATTAGATTTATAACCAGATTTCTTCTAGGCATCAGCATGAAAGGTGCTTCTTGGTCCAACTGTTCTTACCACAACAATCCCCTGACAATATTGATTCGTGTCAACCAAAGTCAGCCTCCATGACTTTGTAAGAAGTTGAACCTGAGTCCCCAGTCCTCAACAGGGACACACACACATGCTATATTTTATCTGTTCAGCTTGGATCACCATCCCAAGCATCAGCAAAGATAACCAATAACTTGTCAAATTCAACTTTTTTATTTTCATTGGGAAATGCCTATGCCTGCAAGCTGGTGTGAGAGTTCATAAGAACAAAGGGGACAGGCAGGAAATACCACAAATGAAGGCTTATGGTGGATCAGTAAGAAATGTGCTGGGCCTCCAGGGATTTGAAATGTGAACTCCTTGTTCCAAAACCGACTGAAGAATCTGTGCAAATACACAAGGTCTCCCCCTTCACACCTCTGTCTCTGCAAATCAAACTTACCTTATAATTGCTGGAATTTACCCACGAGGTAGCAAGACCATCAACCATTTTGTCCAGCATGGTCTGATCATGTTCAAGGTCAGCAGATTTCTGTTTATCTGAGAAATAATCTATCAGTTCTTGGCCAACCTGAAGACGTTTCCCAACATCTTTCTGCAGGACCTGCATCAAGCAGGACTCCATTGTGGGTTCCATAATGTTCTAGAAAGAGGGCGGAGACAAAAATGAAACTAGAGGGCGGCAGGTTTGAAAAGTCCTCCTGTAGATATTATCCTTGAGGTCGTCTGTTTGAAGAAGGTTACCAAGGTCCTGGATTTCAAAGATGTGATTTTGGGAATGACAACAATGCACCATGTGTGTCTAAAGAACAGCTGGCAGGTTATGAAAAGTTCAAATCAAAAAACTAGTAATAGATAAATAAAACAGAAAGCAGACCAGCCAGGGTGTAGGACCAGGTTTGTGGTGCTTTCCAAATCAGCAGTCCATCCTGAAAGAAATTTTAAAGAGGCAAAAGTTAGCGACAAATATTAAGCAGAAATGTACATTGCACAAAATCCCAAATTAGATATCTGACATTTCCATTTAGAAAGGATTTTCACTGCAGTTCTTTTTCAACTCACCATTATGACAAATAATTAAGGTTCTAAAAATGGGGAGTAAAAACTTGCATGTTTTTGTATCTTCTGTAGTATGTCTGTCTTAAATTTAAAACATGAAGCTTTAATGTAATAAGATGCTAAGTATTCAGAAAATGAGCACGCGCGCACACACACACATCACCCCATTTTGTTCGGTAACAAAAACATGAATCTATAATGGACTATCAGGAATCATATTTAAAAAGAGAAGACACTGTACTACAGGATCTATGCATCCAAACCAGGTTAAGTACTACATCAAGGGGGGAAAAGGGAGAAAATGCACAACCAAGACACAGAACTAGCAAGGTTTAGGATAGTCTTAAGGAAAATCAATACTGGATGATGATTTTTAAATACTAAAACAAGCATCACATTTATAATATGGCTTAACTGATACTGTGGGAGACGTTCCACAATCAGAAATGTACTGCAGCGCAAGCAATACACTGACATGAACGTTACATCATTCACAACACTCCCATATAGCATCTAACAGGTCTCCATATATCTTTGCCCCCTTTGGGATTTTCTGAACTGTGCCTGTCTTTCCCACTGAATGTTGTCATGTTCGCAGGATCCTTGCTAGATGTACAGCTATTTGGATGCAATGAAGGGAAGCTTCTTCTCTCGTTACACATTGATTCTATTTTTCAGCAGCTTGTTAAGTGAGGCATGGCTTTCTCAGGGCTTGCTATACTTGCACCCGAAAACAGGTGAGCTAAAGAGGTGCTAAGGAGAAAGCAAACAGCCTTACCACATAGCATTGTCAGATATCTTCCTGCTTGACTTGATATAAAGTTCTTCTTGTAAAATACAGCACTTGGTTTCTACCAGACATTATAATATCCAAGTAGATTCAAAAGTTACTCATTTGATCTACTTGTCCACAGAACATTCCTTCAGAAGCTTGGAAGACTATTACATGTTTGTTTGTGTGTGTGTGTGTGTATGAACTTGAAATGACCATGAATGTTCTGTTTAGTGAGCAATAGCATTCACCTTAGTTCTCTTCCATGAATCTCATGTTTACCGTGTGAGTGTGTGTGAGTGTGTGTGTGTGTGTGTGTGTGTGTGTGTGTGTGTGTTTATAAGCACTTATTTTTAGCAAAGGCAAGAGTGGCTTACAAATCCTTGGCTATTTTTCCAGGGCATTTTAGGTCTTCCTGAATAATTTTATACTGTGTTCTGAGAATAATTTTTAACCATTCTTAGGAAGATTGCCTATTCAACCTCTCAAGATGATATATTCATAGATCAACAGAACTCCAAAGCATTAGAAATGCTTCTTAAACTTTTCCAGAGAGTTATGTATCCATATTCATTTTTTTTTTCAGAGAACTTCAGATTTGGAGCAAGGCATTAGAAGGCCTCTAAAATCTAAAATTCTCATAGGGACAAAGGGAACCAAAGTTTGTGAGATTTCTACAGTGACTGGCCCAAAGCAACCTAGATTGTTTAATGAAGCTAGCTTTGATTATTGGATTGAAATGACTATATTAAGGGGCAATTAATACCAGTGGCCCACTGCATGACGATACTGTGCTTAAATTTCCATGTCCTTCATTTACTCAGACTCTCTTTATAAATCAGCATCAATCACATGAAGCTTTGACAATATTCAGTAAGAAAGATACAGTATTTAAAACTTCAGAAAGGAGAATCTGCATTTATCAAATTGTGCATGTGTATGTATGGTTAAAATCTTATGATATCATAAAATCTTGCAAGACTTTAGCATTCAAACATGAAATCACAAGAGAAACGAACTTTCAGAAAGAGAACACTGAAATCTTGTGAACTGCTGGAGTGAGAATTCTGAAATCTCAACATGTCAATTATTGTCTTTTGTATTTTGGTACCCAATAATACATGAGAAAAATTTTGTCATCAGTTCTCCTTCTGAAAAAGCTGCTGGATCTACCATATTCATATGTAGATTCAATATAAATTTGCTAATATAAAAGCTGGATTAATCACATCGGTGTTGGAATATTCTAACTGCTCAATTTTACACATGTCCAGTCAAAAGTAAACCTAATTTCAAACTTATCTGGGAGCCAGCCATCTTGAATAAATTGATAGTATAGGTTAGTTCTCAACTTATGATAACTTACCATCACAATTGAGCCCAACTTTTCATTGCTAAGTGTGGCAGTTAATTGTTTTTTTCCCCATTTTACAACATTTTACTAAGCAAATCCCTGCACTTGTTAAGTGATGATCCATTCATTTGATCATTGAGCAAATCTGGCTTCCACATTGTCTTTGCTTAATGGAAGCCACTGGGAAGGTTATAAATGGTGATGACATGACTCTGGGATCATATATGCCATAAATATATGTCAGTTACCAAGCGTCTGCATTTTGATCATGTGGCCATGGGGAATGGTGCAACAGTTATAAGTCTGAAAACTGGTCATGTCACTTTTTTCAGGTGTAATTCCAGGTGTAACTTCAAATGATCACTAAATGAATGGTTGTAAATTGAGGGCTACCTATATAAATTCCAAATATCAGGTATCATGATACCTACTGGCAAAGTTCTCTAATCTCAGACACCTGGCATCCTCAGGATTTCTTTCCGAAGGCAATCAGGCTCCTAAGCTGACACACTCCTATTTCTAATGCAACTGAAGCCATGAAATTAAATACCATAGACTATCATAATTCAAATAGAAAAAGTTGGATTAAACTGTCACTATTCAGACTTGTTATGACTACTAATTTAATGACTTCTCTGAGATAACACCAAATAAATGCAGGGGCACTTTGTTCTATTACCCAGGTTATTATAAGAAGCGCAACCATAGGTGCAATCCACATGCTCATTTGAAAGAAATTTACATTGCAATGATTGGTATGTACGTTTGCAGAAACCTGAGTTGACAAAATATGCATTCTTAATCTCTTAACTTGTTTCACCAGCTAAGGGAAGACAAAAATACAACCGTGCAAGAGGTTAACAACAGATTGCTTAGAGTAATTGTGATTAGCTAAAGGATTGCTTATAAAAACTGAATTCTTGTTTCTATCACTACCACACAACACGGTACACTAGCAAAAAATGATGCGAGCAAGCAAGAATAGGGACTCCCAACTCAGAAACCATCGAAGAAATATTTCCTTAAAACCATCTGAAGCACCTTTCAGGCATCCGGTATTACCAGACTCCTTCATCCAACAAGTTTGGATATGCTTGTTTTGGCTGCTTGTTAAGAGCAATTTTAGAATGAGTAAGTAAATAAATAATAACTCCCTCACTTTATCATGTTAAACAGTGACTTTAACAATGAATTGGATTACACAACCTGAATTTTCAGCAAGATAAGTGGCACCTCTGCTAACATGCAAACTATCAGGGATGGGTAATACATTTCTAGGCCCAAGTTTATGGCTTAACAAATATTTCTTCCCAATACTAGTAAGCAGTAATTCATGTTTCACTGGGCACTGAAACAATTCAAAATTTTGCTTTTATTCCATTTAGAATTATTTGAGTTCATTTAAGTGAGTATATTCAGACTAAGCAGGACTTGTGTTGTCTAAAGGCTGGATAGCTAACTTTACTGTTTGCAATCTTATCTTCTTCTTCTTCATCACCATCACCCTCATCACAGCATCATCATCATCATGAATGCCTTTCACTCAGCAGTGCAAGGCTGCATAGTTAGCATTTCCTCTTTCCATTACACCACCATGAGATAGATGATCTGGTGACCTTCCATGATTGAGACCGGCCCTGAATATAGGCCTCTCCAGCACCTACCCAACTCCTTAACCACATGAAATACGTACATAGAGAATTAACATGAGTTTTACTTTGTCCTTTTCCTACAATCCAAGCCCCAAAGCACTACTTGTAAGCAGAACTTCCCACAGACCCAAGGACACACTGCAGGTTCATGACAACAGGGCCAATTCTCCTGTATCACTTTACCAGCAGCTGCAGCCTCGCTCTTCCCTGCCCCCTTAAAACAAAATGAATTTCCCTCATGTGTGTACTCTACTTTATTAAATCTGACAGATACACAATCTCCTCCTGTCCTCCGGCCATGCTCCAGTCCTTCAACCTTGCAACCATGACTTGAAATAGAAGGAAACTCCTGTCTGTCTGCAGAGAACAGTCTCTTTGCCCTTAAAGTACTCAAGTCCCAGCAAGTCTCTTTTCATTTGGTGAAAAGAGGGCAGATCTAATAATAATAATAATGTGACATGCCTCTGCTTCTGCAAAAGAAAAAAAAAAGTAGGGCATGCTTGAAGGAAAATGGGTCAAGTTCAGCACTAAAGTGTGTGAATGGAGCAAAGATTTTTTTTAAAAAGCCTTGATACGTAAACAAGCAGAGCAAGATCTAAAGGCATCGTGCCATCCAAAACATTAGAAGTGTAGTCTTTATCAAATCAAAGGAGATTTCTGCAGATCTGTCTCTTCTTTCCCTTATCGATGTAGGAGGAAAGCCCCCTTCATCTGCACGGCAAAGAATCAAAGACTTAAGCTGCCATGAGCTGCAGCTCACTTATCAGACTTCCTCCTTTTTTCCAGGTCATCATTCCTACAATCCTCTTCTTTTATGAAAAGCAGCCAGAGCCCGTAAAGTAAACCAATTCCTCCAAAACCAATTCCTCTCACAGAAGAGCTGCCGGTTACGCTGCTGTATTCTGTTACTGCCTGCTTTTCCATCATTTTAACAGAAACATTTATTTTAAAAGAATAAATATCATGAGGAATGCTCAGCCAACTGCTAAGATTCCAGCTGAAGTCTCAGATATTGGACAAGAAATTGCATAGCAATGAGAAGAAAAGAAAAGAAAAAGAAGTCCCACAGGTTTTTAAATAATGAGTTGTAGG